TATAAATACAAATGTTCAATCACAAACATAATACGATTCGTTAACTATATAAAAAAAATCAACGTTAAAATAAGCACTTTGGTTTTCTATTTACTTTGTGTGAGGGGGTTGGGCCCCCTGGTGGCTACAGCTCCTGCTTCACACACGGAGGGCCCGGGTTCGATTCCCGGCGGGTGGAAACATTTCGACACGTTTCCTTACACCTGTTGTCCTGTTCACCTAGCAGCAAATAGGTACCTGGGTGTTAGTCGACTGGTGTGGGTCGCATCCTGGGGGACAAGATTAAGGACCCCAATGGAAATAAGTTAGACAGTCCTCGATGACGCACTGACTTTCTTGGGTTATCCTGGGTGGCTAACCCTCCGGGGTTAAAAATCCGAACGAAATCTTATCTTATCTTATCTTACTCTTCTTTCCCCCTCAAGGAAGGTTCCTTGATGTTGGTGAGGGGCTCTTGATTTAGGGAATTGGATTTGTGCTCCATTTCCCCGAATTAAGCCTGAATGCCTTCCACATCCCCCCCCCCAGGCGCTGTATAATCCTCCGGGTTTAGCGCTTCCCCTTGATTATAATAATAATAATACTCTTCTTTCCAATTATTTTTGTGATGCCCTTGTTTTACTTAGTGTAGTGTGCTCATTCAGTCCACTAGCATATTTTTCCATCATTTGGTCTAACCTAGGTATACTTTTCCTTGCAATACAGATTGAAAGGCTTGACATTATCTGTTTGTTTTGAGGATATCCCAATTTGTTTAGCTATTGAACAAGGTTCTTCCGGTTTGGGGTCATCATTCCAGAATGTTGACTTTTCTGGTTTTCCATCTTCTATGTGTGGGTTATTTGTGTATTTTTTAGTTTACCCTGTGTGAGGGTGTGTGTGTGTGGGTGTTGGTGTGTGTGTGTGTGGGTGTGTGTGTGTGGGTGTGCGTCCTTGTGTGTATGCATATATTTGTACGCTCGCGTGCACATGTCCGTGCGTGCGCCCTCGTGTGTGTATGTGCGCGCGCGCACTAGTGTGGGTGTATGATCCACTTAATATTTGTATTTATAACTCATTACAATTGTGACCAGGTGTGGACGTATCAGTGGTTCATTACTTTGTAATTTGTTCATGACTGTAACCATGTATAGGAGTGAAGCTGATTAATTACCTCTGTAACTTGCCATGATTAGTGACCAGATCTACCTGGAGTTCATTACCTTTGTAGCTAGTTCAGCTATCATAACTTTGGGGTCCAGTCACTGGACCCATTATGTACCTTTGTAATCTTTTGACTACCGCCCACAGGATGGGTATGGGGTGCATAATAAACATATTAAACTAAAGTGTGTGTGTGTGTGTGTGTGTGTGTGTGTGTGTGTGTGTGTGTGTGTGTGTGTGTGTGTGTTGTGTGTGTGTGTGTGTGTGTGTGTGTGGTGTGTGACTCAACAATCAATATTTGCACCAATAACTCATTACAGTTGTGACCGGGTGTGGAAGTGTGAATTGCTCATTACTCTATAATTTGTTCATGATTGTAGCCAAAGTATAAACGTAAGTAACCATTCTACAGAATTCATTACCTTTGTAACTTGTGAGCTCATTACCTTTGTACCTAGTTCAGCTATCAAAACTTTGGGGGCCCAGTCCCTGGACCCATTACGTACCTCTGTAATCTGTAAATACCTTTGTAACTTGTCATGATTGTGACCAGACTTACCTGGAGTTCATTACCTTTGTAAATTGTGAGTTCATTGCCTTTGTAAATTGTGAGTTCATTACCTTTGTAAATTGTGAGTTCATTGCCTCTGTAACTTGCTCAGCTATCAAAACTTTGGAGTCCAGTCCCTGGACCAATTATGTACCTCTGTAATCTTTTGACTACCGCCCACAGGATGGGTATGGGGTGCATAATAAACATATTAAACTAAACTAAAACTAACCCTTTAGCTCTAAATAAAAAAAAAAGACTTTGTAGTTTCAAGATTATCATTAAATTGTAGCAGTCTCAGGTTCATTGTCTTTGTACCAGTTAGAGATATGGTCAATAATTTTATTATCTTGTTTTAAAGTCACAGTAAACCTTTCACCTTTAGCCTGTCACCAGGCAGGGATTATTATTATTGGAAAGTGCTAAACCTGTAGGGATTATACTGCCCCTGTGGGGTAGGGGAAAAGAAGGCATTCAGGTAATTGGAGCCCAGATCCAATTCCCTAGATCAAGAGCCCCTCACCAGGATCAACGAACCTCCCTTGAGGGGCCAGGCAGAGACTGGCCCTGCATATACTACATATCGTCTCTTCTAGGAGTGTGGTCGGACATCAGATCATCATCAATGTGGTTGGACATCAGATCATCATCAATGTTACACTGGTAAAAAAAAAAGACGAGCAAACATTTGGACATGTTTATTTTAAAGCATTTTGGCGGTCCTAAAATGAGCAGGCCAGTGTGTCATCCAATGAACCATGTGGTCCGGTGGAAATGCACTAGCCTGCTAGTTTTAGTACCAAATGGTCCAGTGGATAGTGTTAACCTGTTAGCTGTAAGATCACATAGTCCAGTGGATTGTGCACTGGAGTGTTAACTTTAGGACCATATGATCCAGGGGATTATGCACCGGCCTGTTAGTTCTAGGACCATATGGTCCAATGGAGTGCACACTGGCCTGTTTTAGTACCATATGGTCCAGTGGCTTGTGCACTGGCCTGTTAGTTCTAGGACCATATTGTCCAGAGGATTGCATGCTGGCCTGTTAGCTTTAGAGCCATATGGTCCAGTGGCTTGCACACTGGGCTGTTAATAATAATATCTTGATTTACTACATGTACAAGGTATACAGGCCTAGCTGACATCAGTGACATACTACTGTATAGAAAGCCCCTTGTTATGCTGAGCATTTTGGGCAAATTAGGTCAGTTTTTGTTCCAGGATGCAACCCACACCAGTCGACTAACACCCGGGTACCCACTTTACACAGATGGTTGAACAGGAACAGCAGGAGGAGCATGGCATTAGGATTAACATCCCTTGCTAGAAAATAAAGAAGAGACTAATATGGTGAAAGTTAGAAGATAGGAAAGTCGAAAGAAAAACAAAAGACATGTCATGAAAAAAAGGGGGTAATAGCAAAGGTCACGTAAATTCACGAGTGTTCTAAAAACCGAAGTATTTGACACTTGAGAAGGCAGGCATCTGCTGAAACAAAACCGAGCCTTATTAAGATCAATGTTAGAAATTTTGTCTAAAGGGGCCGATTCAACATAAGGGCCTCTGAGAGGGCTAGAAGGGTAGATAGTATTAGGAGAGGACCAGTTGATGGGATGGTTATGATCTCTAACATGAAGTGATAATAATAACAATATAATAATATCTTTTCTTTTTTTTTATTCGCCGGTATTCTCCCGGCCCGGGTCTTTTCCAAGTAGTGGTGACCCGGCCTTGGCTCCCTATCTCGGGAGTGTCTCGAGACCTAAGTCTCCCATGGGAGGAGGTACAAGTACCCCCCTCATCTTTGGGACCAACTGTCCCCATGCCTAGCCACATTCCCCGCCCTCACGGGGCTCGTAGGGAGAAGCTAGGCCTCTGGTCTGCCATCTGCCTCGCCCCAAAGGGGCTCGTGGAGATGGCAGTCTTATGAGCTGCAGATGGTAGCAAGCTCAGCCTTTATAATAATATCTTTATTTACTACAAGTACATGTACAAGGTATACAGTCCTAGCTGACATCAATGGCATACTACTATATAGAAAGCCTCTTGTTATGTTGAGCATTTCGGGCAAATTAGGTCAGTTTTGTCCCAGGATGCGACCCGCACCAGTCGACTAACACCCAGGTACCCAATTTTAAACTGGTTGGTGAACAGGGACAGGGACAGCAAGTGTCTTATGGAAACACATCCCTAATGTTGTCCAGCCGTACCGGAGATTTGAACTCCGGACCTCAGTGTGTGATTAAGTGCGCTAGCGATCAAGCTATGGGACACCTGAATAGAACATTGTGATAAGATACGTAAATTTTCTCGAAACTGTATCTTCCTATAGCACTGTGTAGATTAGCTACATGAGGAAAAAAGAACTGAGGAATGGAATGTCTATAATATTTCTTTTTAAAATGTAAATATGTTCACTGGGGGTCTAACAAAGACTCACTGTGACTTATGCAAGTAGGTTGCGCTACCGCTCACATGAGCTGCATGTGGAGAAGTTTGTACTATGAGACGTTGAAAGAACTGAACCTGGCGATCTTAGAGGAGAGAAGGCCAAGGAGAAGACATAATTACGGCATACAAAAATCTTAAAGGGAATTTTTTTTTTATATTTTACTTAAAGTGAATTAACAGGCCAGACAGTATGAATTCAAATGACCAGGATTAAGGGGACACAGGTGGAAGCTGAAGACACAAATGAGCCACGGGGATGTAAAGAGATCCTTCTTTAGTCTCAAGGTTACTGAAAAGTGAAATTACTATCCATATTACTTTCTGTACATTAAACAATAAAAAGTCACAATAGTGAGACTATAACGGTACACAAATAACTCGCACATAGGAGAATGAAACTTACGTCAACGCTCACACTTCACACATCGTGTCTGGTATGAGTGGAAACGTTGGGTGTTTCCTTACACCTGCTGTCCCTGTTTACCTAGCAGTATGTACCTGGGTGTTAGGTAACTGGCGAGTCGCATTCTGGGTGACAAGACTGAAGGACCATAATAGTTTATAATTATAATCAAGGGGGAAGCGCTAAACCCATTGGATTATACAGCGCCTACGGGGGGATGTGGAAGGTATTCAAGTTTAATTCAAGGAACTTGAGCACAGATCCAATTCCCTAGATCAAGAGCCCCTCACCAGCATCAAGGAACCTTCCTTGAGAGGGGACCACAATGGAAATGAGACAGCCCTTGATGACGCACTTATTGTCTTGGGTTATCCTGGGTGGCTAACCCTCTGGGTTAAAAAAACAAAGAAATGTGAAATGACCGTGAAATATGTTGTGATGTAACTATGCTCAATGGGGTCTCATAGACTTGTTACTTCCCCAGTCCTTTCTCCCTACCGCTCACAGCATGGGCATAAGGTACACAATAAGACTCTCAGGCGACACCATTACAGATAATTGTGAATATGAAAATGGTATACAATACCGACTTGGTGATAGGTAAGACATATGCAACAGTTAGGTATCTTTATTCCGAAACTTTTCGCCTACACGGTAGGCTTCTTCAGTCGAGTACAGAGGAGTTTGTAGAAGCAATAGAAATGTGAAGACTATGTAATCAGTCCATCATGCTTGCGTGATGGACTACTACGGTGCTCTTCACCAACTCCAAGGTTGACGGACTGATTACCTTATAATTTGTATATAATTCTTCATATTATGTTCTTATATTGTATTGATAAAGCCACTGGTTGGCGAAACGTCTACAAATAAAGATACCCAGATGTTGCGTATGTGTCTAATTCCTCATCTTGTCGGTATTATATCAATAATGTTTTACCACTGAATAATCATTGCTTAGTTATCTTAAGTTAACTTTAAGCCTGCCCATAATGCTCTGCATACAAGGGGCTTTGACATGTTACACTTAATTACTGTATTTCTTTGTACTTCTCTGTATCATGTTCAAATAAATAAATAAATAAATAAATAAATTTATGTACGAGGTGTTGAGCGTCATGGTCTGGATAAGGGAGACTAGAACCCCGGTGTTGCAGCACTGGTCTATGCAACTTCTCGCAATCGTAACACCTTTAAATCCAACAATTTTCTAGGTTTTTGCCTTGCTTGTAGCGGTGACTTTTGAACTGGACTTGGTAGAGTGCGCAAGTCTTGCTCTGCCCTGAACGTTAGTGGCAATTTTCAACTGTTTTCTTCTGATAATGCTTGTTGTGGTCATAGTTTCTCAACCTGACACAAAAATCGTGGTTCCATTTTGCTGCTCTGCTGATTTTACAGGAAATACAGTAAGCCTGTCACCGACTCTGGTTAGATATGGATGTCTTATTTTATCTTAAGTTTAACTTGGCTTGGGTGTAGGTAGAAAGGTCTACGGGTTTAGTGTATAATGAAATACAATATAACCCTGTTTGAGCTCATATTTATGTTATATTTGCTACGTAGACATCAGTAGACACGAGTCAATGCAGTTGTTATATCCCTTAATAACCACAACAATAACACAAGATTTTTCTTGATTCTCTTGAAGCAAGTTTGTGTAACTCAGTATATTATACCTTTACTTGGGCCGAGTGAGTAGCTGGTTTATTGTGCATCTTTTGCTCTTATGGGTGAGTGCACAATGGCAGGATTACAAATTTATTGTAGATTTCATCAAACCCAGTGGAAGAAAAGTCACTTAGTCTTAGTTTTTTTGGGGGGTTATCCTGAGTAATTTACACTATGATAAATGTACTTATATGTATCTGTGCCTAAGTAAACTTTTTATGGAAATAATTATATATTTACTACATGTACAAGGTATACAGGCCTAGTTGACATCAGTGACATACTACTATATACAATGCTACCTGTTATGCTGAGCATTTCGGGCAAATTAGATCAGTTTTGTCCCAGGATGCGACCCACACCAGTCGACTAACACCCAGGTACCCATTTTAAACTGATGGGTGAACAGGGACAGGGACAGGGACAGGTGTCTCATGGAAATACATCCCTAATGTTTTTCAGTTCCCAGTGAGGCACAGATGTTACTGGATTATCCTAGGTTAATAACCTTCCAGGTTAATACAAACAGAATCTTATCTTAGATGTTAATAATTTCATATGAGAGTCTCATCGTTAAGCTAATCATCTACCAGTGTAATAATTAGACCTGGTCAAAGACCCCAATCAAAATAAGTCACTTTATCTGACTCTTTTGGGATAATCCTAAGTAATATACATTATGTATGATAGCTGTACTTATGTGTGCGTGTGCCTAAATAAACTTACTTAATGGAAGTGCCTTGGTGTTGCTGAAGAGCTCTTGATCCAAAGTATTGGAGTTATTCACTCTTTCTTTGGATAGAATTCAAATGCCCCTGTTTTAACCTGGTCGTGCATGACTCCAACAGGTTTGACTCTCCTCTCCCTTCACTATTATATGAATGAGAAAGTGTAACGATGAAAGTTACGAGATGTTTTATTACCACTCCTTGAAGTCTTGATGCTAGTGAGGGGCTCATAATCCAGGGGGGTGGATCTGTCCTCCACTTCTATGAATGACACTTGATTGCCTCCCTTTCCCCATGTGCTGTGTGGCCCTTTTGAGTTTAGTGCTTTCCCCTAATTATAATAATCATTAACAATGAAATGATTTGCTAATTCTTATACAGTGGAACCCTGAGTTTCGAACTTAATTCGTTCCAGGAGCTAATTCAAAAGTTGAAGCATTCGAAAGTTGAAGCAATATTTCCCACGAGAAGTAATGTAAATGCAATTAATCCGTTCCAGAAACCCAAAAATTATTCACAAAAAAAAAAATACATTTTATAGAGATTACATTATAGTTTCACATACACACAACAAACGTACATAGTACAATTAGTAATGGATAAATAAAAATTTGAATAAACATATAAATAACATTTTTACTTACCTTTATTGAAGATTGTTGATGGCATCTGGAAGATAGGGAGGAGTGAGGGAGCACTTATTGTTTGGAAGGGGAATCCCCTTCCATAAAGACTTCAGGTAACAAGTCCTTATCTGGGGTTACTTCCCTTCTTTGTCTTTTAATTCCACTAGTACCACCTTGAGAGTCACTGGACCCCTTTCTCACAAAATAACTGTTCAGTCCTCTGTTTCTGGCGCCTCTTTAAGATTTCCCTAAAATGGGACGTGGTTCTGTCACTCAACTTGTTGCAGAGATAGCTTGTTTCAGCTTGCTCAGGGTGGTACTTCTTCACAAACGTTTGCACATCATTCCACTTGGCACAAATCTCCTTAATCTGTGAAGAAGGCACCTTATCCACTCCCTCTTCCTCCTCCTCTGAAGCAAGTTCCTAAGCTGTGGTCTGATATTGTTCCAGATGAAGCTCTTCCAGCTCTTCAGTGGTTGGCTCTTCCCTGTGGTCGTCCACTAACTCTTTCACATCCTCGCCACTCACCTCCAACCCCACGGACTTGCCCAGTGCCACAATATCTTCCACAACAGGCAGAGGGTCGGCAGGGTCAGGGTCAGCCTCAAACCCTTCAAAAATTCCCTCTGGACTACACATTGTGGCCACAATTGTCTCCAAGCGGAGTTCAAAGTCCTGGGAGTCACTCCCTCCCAAGCCTTACATGTAAGGCTTATGCAGGTGTAGATATTGAAGTGATTCCTCCAGAACTCTCTTATGGTCAACTTAGTGTCTGTGGTCGCTTCAAAGTCTTTCCAAACACTGCTTTTTTGTAGAGGTTTTTGTAGTTAGAAATTACCTGGTGGTCCATGGACTGGAGGTGAGGAGTGGTGTCAGGAGGCAAGAACTTCACTGTGATGAAAATGTAGTCCCTAGACAGTAGGTCTACCGAGTTTGGAGGATGTGCAAGAGCATCGTCCAGTAACAGGAGGCACTTAAGTGGCAAATTATTTTCTAGGAGGTATTTTTTCACACTGGGGCCAAACACTTCGTGAAACCACTCTTTGAAAATTTGCCTTGTGACCCATGCCTTATTATTGGCTTTCCACAAGACCCATAACTTGTTCTTAATGACATTGTTTTTCTTAAACACGCTGGGATTTTCTGAGTGATACACCAATAAAGGCTTCACTTTAAAATCCCCACTAGCATTACCACACAACAAGAGACTCTGCCTGTCTTTCATAGGCTTGTGTCCTGGAGTGCCTTTTCCTCCTGAGTAATGTAGGTCCTCCTTGGCATTTTCTTCCAAAACAGGCCTGTTTCGTCACAATTGAACACTTGTTGGGGTGTGAATTTTTCAGTGTCTACATACCCCTAAAATCATTCACAAATTTTTCATCTGCCCATTTGTCTGAACTGGCTGCCTCCCCATGCCTTACAACACTGTATGCCACTATGCTTCTTAAATCTGTCAAACCAGCCTCTGCTGGCCTTAAATTCACTATCAGCACTGGTTCCAGGAGCTTTCTTTTCAAGGTTGGCATGCAACTGCCTTGCCTTTTCACAAATAATTGTCTCAGAAACACTATCACCCACCATAGCTTTATCCTTGATCCACACCAGCAACAACTTCTCAACCTGATCAACTGTCTGTGGTCTATTTTAGGTTAGCATATCAACATCTTTCACAACATAAGCTTCCTTGATTTCTTTTCTCTTCGCCAGGATAGAAGCGATTGTTGACTTGTTTTTCCCGTGCATCCTGGCAAACTCCACAAGTCGCACACCACTCTCGTATTTTTCTACTACTATTTCCTTCTTCATGTCTATAGTGTTTCTCATTTTCTTTACCACAGGGGTACCACTAGCAAGTTTCTTTGGGCCCATGGTAACTTATTTCACAGTCACACAAGTAGCAAATACAATGAATTAATAGAGAAATGTTCGAATGAATGTGCAGGTTAGTGTTCACTCAAGAATCAACAAAGCCAGACTGGCTCACGACGCCTCCACAGGGACTTGGACAGAGCGGACAGGTCCGGTACCCGATGGTTTGAAACACGGAGCACTTTCGATACTCGGGACAAAACTGGTTTGAAAAAGTGGTCAAAACTCAAAGCATTCGATAGCCGATACGTTCAAAACTCGGGGTTTCACTGTAGTCTGATTCTCTCTTAAATTGTTGGATTTTTGGACAGTTTTAAGCTCTCTGTAATATTATAGTGTGTCCCTGTCTCCATATCTTTACATTTCATGTGATGTAGATTTCCATACAAATTTAACTGCTAAGCTTTATAGATTTATTGACCTTGTGGGTTTATCACTTACTTATGGTTACAGTAGTATTAATAATTAGCTTTACTGTAGCAGACATGTTGCAGTGTACTCTCCTGTTACTCTCTCCATAAATGTGTGTGTTACTTCACAAATTATTCCCTATACTGTATATTGTACTTTATATCATAATAAATCACAAAAGAAAAGGATGTTATAATATGTAATTATCTTTATTTA